AATAGGCCGATTCAAGAGGTGGGCCATCGCTGTTAAAGTTAAATGGTCCCCCCACTCTCCGTCGGCACGCAAGCCGTCCACGTACCGGGCGTAATCGGGGAAGTCGCCAAAAGCCGCAAACATCGGCGCAAGGGTCTTTAAATAATCGCAGACCTCTTTCCTCAGACGCTGGTGCGACACGCCAGTCCCGGACGAGCGCGCGACGGCAATAAATTGGCAGTTGCCAAAGGGGGCCGTGTCCTCGCGCACGAGGCCCTCCTGGAGCAGCCTGGGTGCAAGGATCGCCTGGCTGCGCTCCTGCCGCTTCCGAAATTCGCCGTGGGATCACCCATGGAACGCCGGATGGTTTCTTCCATCTGCTCCTTCTCGGAAGCAGCCGCCCAATTTTTCGCGGCGCTTTTCAATGAGTGCGCCATGGCGGCAGCGGCGGTCTTCTGACTCTTCTCAGACTTGGCTTGCTTCGCATGTTGCGTGCAAAAATACGCCGACCCGCCCGCGGGCGAGCGAGCCGCCCGCGGCGCGTTGAAGCTGTTTGTCCGAACGTTCACTGCGCAGCTGCGGGCCCCCGCAGTAGTCTCCTTCCTCTGCCTTCCTCCGTCCTCCCCCTCAACGACTTGGATCGCGATCTAAGTCTTCCATGGTAGGAGGAACACTTGGATCGCGATCCAAGTGTTCTGGGATCGTGATTTCAGTCATTGTCGGGCCGCAGGGGAGGGGCGCCCTGGCGCCCCAAAGGTGCACGAGAGGTGCACCTTTCCTCCCCCTCCCTATGTCGGAAGCCTGGCAAGGGCTGCTAAATCCGTGGCTGCTAGAATCGACCTCCGGGAAGTTGCCTTCGTCCTTCCTGGCAGAAGCCCGTTGATTGTTTCGCGTGCCGCGCCTCATTCTGGGAAGTTGTTTTTCCCTTCGGGGAGGGCCGTTTTAGCAGCCACGGTTTTCGCAGCCCTCGCCCAGCTTCCGACTATGATGGCACCCCCGAGTAAGCGACGCCCGACAAAAAGAGCAACTCCAGAACCCACCCTTCTCCGCCGAGGGCCCCTACGTCAAGGGCCCCCCGGGGGCCTCGCAGCAAGACCCACAGGGCAACCCCGGGACCCTCCCGCAAGCAACGCCTCACAACAAAAGGCAACTCCAGACGACGACGATGTGCAGAGGAGGAGGAGCAGCAGAAGGAGGAGCAGAAGGAGGAGCAGGATGAGGAGGAGGAGGAGGAGGAGGAGGAGGACGAGGAGTTCATCCAGCAGCGCGGCTCCGTCTTGGGAGCGGCCATTTCGTCTTCAGTGGGCGGGATTACTTCTCGGCGCCGTGCTCTTCCTCGAGTTCCGTCGTGATCGTGCCTCGGATTCATTCTTTCAGCATTAGCGTAGTAGGAGGACGGCGACAGCGACGGCGACGGCGACGGCGACGACGGCGACGACGACGACGACGGCGGCGACGGCGACGACGACGGCGGCGGCGGCGGCGACGACGACGGCGACGACGGCGACGGCGACAACGGCGACGGACCCCTCCTCCGCCTCCAGGCGGTGGTGCCCGTCGCTGGGGCCGGCGGCAGCTCGGAGGCGCCAGCCGCACCGCCGCCGCGGGGTCGGCGGGGGGGAGCGGGGCCCAGAGTGCTGCTGCTCTGCAGCGTGGCCCGGCCGGGCGGCAGAGGGGGGGCCCAAGGGCGCCCTCGAGGGCGCGAGGTCACTCGCGGTGCCCTGCTCGGCTCCGATTCCTCCGCCGTGGTGCTCTTCCCCCCCCGGGGTGGCGGCGCGAGGGCGCTGGGGTGTTCGCGCTCCGCGCAGCGCGACGCGCGAAGTCAGGCGGCCTGGGTTATGGGAGTGCGATAGGTCGGGGGGGGAAAGTACCGGGAAGCTTTTATCAATGAAGTGTCGGGAGCTTTGAGACGGGGGTCAATGCAGACGGGGGTCAGCCAGAGCGCCCCGACCTTGCAGGATCCTGCAGGGCCAGGGTCGCATTGACCCGGGTTTGGGTGCAGGATCCTGCAGGATCCTTCGCATTGACCCGGGTTTGGGTGCAGGGTCTTGCAGGATCTTGCAGGATTCTGCAAGCCCTGGCTGACCCGGGTCTGGGTTGACCCGGGTCAGAAGGTCCCCGGAAGTGGGCTGGCCCGGGCTGGGGCTGAAATCAAAATGGAAATCTTCTTTGATTTCGCCGCTGGCCTGTGCGAAATCTCATTTTAGATAGCGGTTGCAGTCTTGTTTGTGGCCTTCATAGATTTCGAAACTCGCCCTTTCCATTGTTTTCTGTTCTTGCCTTGATTGTTTTCAATGTCATGTTGGCCATGTCTCCATATGGCATCGTTGTCCAATGAATTTGTTGGCGGCCTTCGTGGCGGCATCTTTTTCTTTGGTCTCTTTTGTTTTGATTATTTCTGAAGCCGGACATTTTAATTAATTTTTCCGCCCCGTGGGGCGTTGCAGCGCACCCTGGTACGATTATTTTGATTTCCCCCCTCGCCTGGAATTTTGAATTCGGTTTCGCGCCCAGCCGACCGGGGCAAGTGCGCATCAAAATAACCCAAGGTTGAGGTCGGCATTGGCCCGCCGCGGCACTTGCAGGGGCCGGCTTCACCAGCCGATTGGTGGTCAGGGGCGCTTTTCGGTGCTCTTGGGCACGTTGTGGGTATCGCAGGCGCGTTGTGGCGCTCTCAGGCACGCGGTGGTTCGGGGCCCTGATGCTTCGCCCATGCCTTCACGGCCAGTCGGCTTTCCGATGTCCGTTCGCTACCGCGCCGCGCTTTACCGCGCGACGCACCATGGATTTTGTCACGTCTGGCGGGCCGCACAGCCAAAGTCCGAAACTAAAGTGATCCCTTGGCGGTGACCGGTTGGATTTTTGAAGTTAACATTGAGTTTGTTATGTTCCCATGATGGACAACACGGGGTATCCCACGCGCGCGCTCGTTGGATTTTGAAGTTTACGTTGGTTTCGTTGCATGGTATCCATGATGGGCAACACATGGCATCCAACGCACGCGCGCGCGTGCGTTCGCGAATTAGGGGGTCTGTATTGTCCACAATAGAAAAATCGCCATGTTGGCATAGAAACTAAAGTGGTCCCCTTGCGGTGACCGATTACATTTTGAAGTTAACGTTGAAGTGATTATGTTTTCCATGATCGACACGTTGGCGGCGCGCAGGCGAACGCACCCGCAGGCTCTTCAACCGCTATAGTGGCTGTTTTCGCGCAGCGTTCTGGGTTTTGCATTTGCTCAGCTGGGTATTGATTTTGATTTTGCGCTTGTTTCAATGTTTTCAGCGGCAGCCCTGCACCGTGGCTGGAAAAGCTTCTGCGCGTTATGTTGTTTTCGTTCGCTGCCGCTAGTTTTGTTTTCGGCCCGAGCCCGCAGGGCCCTGCGCGCGCCATGGACTCCATTTTTGATTTGTTCGATGGCCCTCGTAAGCACGCGGCCACGTGGTGCTGGCCGACCAGAAGACGCGTGATGTCGGATTGAACGAATTGATTGCAACACTGGCCCGAATATTTGATTCCTCGTCTGGGCCGATGGCCTGAGTGTATTGTTTTTGTCGCTGGCCCGCCCAGTTTTCCATTTTTACCCAGTCTCCGATCATTGTGTTCATTTTGATTTCAGCCTTCATTGATTTAGGCTTCCTGGTACGCCTCTCTTGAGGGGTGCTCTAGAGGGGCCCCAGAGGGATTCCCGGGGCCCAGAAAAGGGAGCACGCAAGGTGCACGTCGTTCCTGTTCCGTTTACAAATGCCCGGCCCAGACCTTCAACGTATTTAAAGATTCGCCTGGCGAAGGACCCAACCATGTGCGGTCGTGAGCACCGCAGTCGTGACTATCATGTTCGATGGGGCTCCCTATAGGGCCACGATCCTCGTGAGGGGCGCGCCGAACTGACCCGAGGCCGCCATGCGAACTTTGCCACTGGGGCCTTCGGTGAAGCTCCCTATGGGGCCACGATCCTCGTGAGGGGTGCGCCGAACTGGCCTGAGGCCGCCATGCGAACTTTGCCACTGGGGCCTTCGGTGGGGCTTCCTATGGGGCCACGATTCTCGTGAGGGGTGCGCCGAACTGGCCCGAGGCCGCCATGCGAACTCCCCCACCGGGGCCTTCGGTGGAGCTCCCTATGGGGCCACGATCCTCGTGAGGAGTGCGCCGAACTGGCCCGAGGCCGCCGTGCGAACTTTGCCACTGGGGCCTTCGGTGGGGCTCCCTATGGGGCCACGATCCTCGTGAGGGGTGCGCCGAATTGGCCCAAAACCACCATGCGAAGTTTCCCACTGGGGCCTTCGGTGGGGCTCCCTGTGGGGCCACCACACGTGTGAGGCGTCTGCCGAAATGGGTGCGGTGTGGGGGAGGAAGGAGGAGGAGGCGGGAGGGACGCGGGGCGCTGTCTCTTCAAAACGAGGACCCAACACCACATGGTGGTTGGGAAAAACATCACGGCAATTTGTCATCGTTTTCTGCCCGGGGCCCTCGCCGGGCCCCGGGACCGACAAAAAACATTCAGGACGAAAGGCCGGCCTTGGGGAATGGGGCGAGATTTTTTGGCGTCGACGTTCTGAACAGATCATGGCTGCGGGGGTCTGGGCCCGGGTCATCAAACAATCGTGGCGGAATCTTTTGTGCTATGTTCAGCCTCCGGGGACCCTTTCCAGCCATCGGGACCATCAAACAACGGCTCGGAATGAGGCACGGGTCCCCGGGAGTGGGTCCAGACCGCTTGGGGTCCGCGTCGGGAGCGAGGGGGCCCCGATCTCCGACGACATGAAGTGTTCCGCCGGCGATTTTTCCCTCGAAATCGTTTTTTTTTCGCTGCCGCGAGGGGGGGGATGCGGGGCCTTGCTGTTTGCAGGGCTGGCGGGGCGTGCTCCCGCCAGGCGGCAGGGGGGGGTGCCCGACGTCGGATCCGCTGCATCGTCTCGCTGTACGCTGGAGGCCCGTGCCAAGAAGAGACACCCTGCTTGCCTCCAGGGTGCCCTGGGTTTCTTGGATTTCGATGGTTCTGCTACGGAACGTGTGACGTTCCCACACCAGAAATCAATAGACGTCCTGGGGTCTCAGGGTTGTGCTTCTTGTGGAAGGTTTCTTGTGGAAGGGCCCCTTTATTGAAGTAATTATACATTCAGCCCGCATAGTCAGGATGGGCAACCTTCCCAAGGGTAGCCTTGCATCGTTGCCTCATCGGTCCATCCTTGGCCACTCTTGTTGGCCGCGCCCCGCTCAAAGAGCGTCGGGATGGGCGTCCAAGGCCCTTGCATCCTTATCGCGCATCCTCATGATGCGGGCCGGCTGTAGCTTGTTGTCCGAATAACACATGTGTCGGAAATGCATCCCAAACGGTGCGACAAAGTTGGGCAGGATGGGAATGTCCGTTTCGGAGACAGTGAGGCGGACATGTCCGCAAAGGTATGACGTAGACGGCGGCGGCGAAAAGAGCATCGCGGACATCGGCATCAGAGGAGCTTGAAAAGTTCGGGCCCTCCGCCTTGCTTGCGAACTCGTCTAAAGTATGGCGGATCCGATGTCAGGGGCCAGGAGGACAGGCCCACATCTCCAGCGATATGGTGTGTTCGACCAGCGGTTTTCCCTCGGAGTCGGTTTTTCGGCGCAGTTTTCCGTGTTCGGACCCAGGACCATCAGAAACAGATCTGAGAGTAACAATCCCCCCCCTAGGGCGCGTCGGCTCGAAAACCCATCGTACGTGGCCGCCTCCCCACCTTCCGCCCCACCTTCCGCGGACATCCCGTTGCAGCGGATCCTACCATGGTGTTCCTCCAACTAGATTTCATAGTCCCACGACTGTTGTGGGGGTGATGAGGGTCGGCCATGGACTGCGAGCGAGCCCCGCCTGGCGGAGGGGACCCCGCACACCGTGATGAGCGACCTGGCGAAAGACGTGCTTGCGGCGCCCGTGTGTGGCGCTCACGTGCCCAATAACACCGACACCGTCAACAACTACCAGTTGTGCGATGGGCAGCCGCACGCGGGACACCTCCAGGCCTCGCACTGGGCCGACGGCGGCGCATTCCGAGAAACCGGTCATGGACACGACTGCAGCGCCCTGGCGTGGTGCTCGCCTCCTTTACCACCTGAGAGACACCACGGACGTTACCGAGCTGCGCATCGAGAGGGTCCTCGAGGACCTGCTGGACCACCGCATGCCCGCCGTGCCATGCCTCCGCCATTCGGACCTCCTCCAGCTCAGTCATTGCAGCCAGGGACGCCGACATCCTGCCGCTCACTTCGCTGCACCTGAAGCCCTGCGCGCTCGTGCTCAACCAGTCGCACGCGTGACTCGCGGCACCGTCTCGCGCGTAGCAGCTCTCGCTTCAGGCGCGCGGACCGAGACGCAGGCAAAGAAGGCGCAGGCGAACATCGGCGACGAGCACGGCAATCACAACGGAGAACGACGCTGAGGATAATGTCGCCAAAGAGTCGCCCGTCGAGTACGCCGCTCGTTCTTGCTTGGTACCGAATGTGCTCACGCGAGGACTTGCCTGACAAGCACGAGCTCCCCGAGCATCTACAAGGCCATCGCGAAGAGCGCGCGCATGAGCAACACCATCTGCATAACTATCGCCCACGCGGAAACTCGCACGAGTACCCGTGATCATTGAAATTGTGACCCGCCAAAGGGCTTCTTCAATTTGATCGAGGATTTCGCAGAGTGCGGTTGACGGAAGGACGTCCTTGCATGGGCACCTGTTGCCCATTTTCATTATAGTCCTATTCGTTTCTTCGCTCAGTACGCTCCTCGGGCCCACCCTGTCGCCCTCTCGCTTCTTACGCTTGATCGCCCCCATTGCGCGGCGCCGTTGTAACGCGCGGCCTAACAGAGTCACGCATGCAACCGAGGATCATTGCAACGACTAGCTTACTGTATTTTCCTTCTGTCCGAGAGGCTGTTTCCCCTGGTTTTCCGTGCCCGGTGTCAAGCGGGGAGGCCGGTCGCCAGCGCGGGGTGTAAGCGTTGGCATATTTTTGGCGCTTCGTCACAGTCGTTGTTCCCATGCCACTGTTGTGAAAGACAATATCCGGACTTCTGGGGCCGCGGATTTGTCAGCACAAAGACACAGCAAAACAACCAAACCACGAAGAAAAAACACCGTCGGGCGTCAGAGGGAGGGAGACCCAAGCCTCCAATGCGTTGAAACATGCGACGCGACGTTTTTTTTCCGCTCTCGAATTCTGGGGGCCTGCGGGCCCTCGCCAGGCAGGCATGAGGGCCGTCGAGAAACGAGTCGGGGTGAAAAGCTGATCGCGGACAAAGGGTCGGGACTTTGGGGGGGCGCCGCATTGGGAAATTCGAGACGCCGGATGTAGTGGGAGGGAGGGTGAGATAGAAAGAGAGAGAGAGACACAATACATATAGAAAAGGGTGGAGAAGATAACAGAAGATAATATGACATATACATGAGAGAGAGAACAAAGAAAGAAAGAGAGAGAAAGAGATAGAGAGAGAGAGAGAGAAACAGGCAGGCAGGCAGGCAGGCAGGCAGACAGACAAGCAGACAGACAGACAGACAGACAGACAGACAGACAGACAGACAGACAGACAGACAGACAGACAGACAGACAGACAGAGATAGTGGGAGAGGAATCGAGAGAAAGAGGGAGAGGACAAGAGAAATGAGGTGGATGGAGAGTAAGAGGAGAAGATTCAGGAGGAGTAGGGGGAATATGAAGAGGAGGAGGAGGAGAAACGGGACGGGGAAGATGAGGAAGATGGATGTGGGCAGGAGGGGGAGCGGCATGGGGGAGGAGTTGCGGAGGGGGATGTGCAACTCATGCATGCCAGTGCGTTCTTTTCTTCCCTTGAGAAGATTTGTTGGGGCCTGGGAACAGTTGCCCAGACTGTGTCCTTCAATTGTTTAGTGTTGGTTCGCGTTCAGTTTCCATCCAGCTGAACTGGTCATTCCCGATGTCCACGATGATCCGAGCTCTACTGCACATTTTGCACCAGACCACTACACTGCGTACTGTTTGAAATTGCCCTGACGCGACCCTTCTCACCAAAAGGATTTCAAGGGCACCAAGGCTAGCACCTACCCTTTGGCGATGCGATTCGCATTATGCCTGCAAAGACAGAGATGAACACATGACGTTCAATGCCACCGTTGTCGTCCCCAAGTGGCTGTGAAGACCAGGCTGTTTTGTCAAGGGCTGGGACGCGGCATTGACCGGGCCACTTCAGAGGATGACTCGCAGCGTCGTGCACATCTCAGGAGATGATGGACCACATAACTGCGCTTACTCTTTATCCCCAGGGCCGATGTTTCATCCTGGGCATCGGCGGCGAGGGGGGAAGTGAGAAAGAGAAGGCCTTCTCAGAAGGCCGCGGGATTTCTCAGAAGCCCTCGCGGGGAAGGCTTAGAGAACTTCCCAGAAGGCCAGACTTCCGAGCCTTCTGAGAAGGCCTTCTCCTTTTCCTTTTCCCCCCTCGCTCGCCGCCAGGGGCAGGCTTGTGCTGCGGCTGCCCAGGGGTCGCGATGTACGGGCCCCCCAGCAGCGCGCTACTGGCTACTGCTTTCGAAGAAGAAACAAACGTAATTATAATATACATGGAAGCTGGAAAAAGTGACTGGGACCAGCCCTTCCACTCTTTCCAGCCCTGACCAGTTTCCCCTGCTTTTTTCTAGCTCTGGCGACCGCATCCCGACTGTTTCGGGCTCGTTTAACCCGTTGCCGGTGATTCCAGCCCTGGTCATTTCCACTTTCACTGATTGTTCAATTTCCACTTTTCCCAGCTTCCCTGTAATTTTGTTGGGGGTCCGCGCAGGATTCTCGCACCGGCGCCGAGCCCCGCGGCGCCAGCGCGCTCCGCGCGCCAGGGAGAGGGGATTCCAGCGCCGATCCCAGAAATCCGCGCGGACCTCCGATGTGTGTTTGTGTCGTGCTTTGTTCCTCGATGCTTGCGGTCGGCGATGCAGAGACAGCGTGCGATGTTTACCAGCCTCGAACGTATCCCTATCCCTAAGAAAGGCGATGACAATCTTAGGGATTCGCCTTACAAAATAAGGAAATCCCTACGATTGGCATCGTGATGAGGAGGTGCCCAGGCACAGGGATAGGGATATGTTCCAGGCTGGAAAGATCCAGGAGGGGAAACAACACACAGACACAATGAATCGTCGATCCCCAAGAACAGATGGGAAAAGATGGGAGGTGGGGGGGAAGACAAAAACCCAGAAAATATTGGAAAATATGGGGAGCATGTTTATCTGTGTGTATTTATCTGTGTGCCCTGGGGCCCCTTCAGAGATCTAGCGCGGCAGGCCCGCTGTCCCCCCCCCCCCGGGGACAGCGTACGCCGAAGAAGCCGTGGCAGGGGACCGGGCGTGCGCGGCAGGATCCCTCGCAGGGAGATCCCCTCGCAGGGACCGCGTGCACGGAGGACTCCTTCCTCCTCCTCTCCTCCTCCTCCTCATCCTCCCCTCCTCCTCCTGCTCCTCCTCCTCCTCTGCTCCTCCTGCTCCTCCTCCTCCTCCTCCTCCTCCTCCTCCTCCTCCTCCCCCCCCCCTTGTTTCCCCTTCTTGGCCCCTCCTCCTCCTCATCCTCCTCGTCCTCCTTGCCCCCCCCTTAGTTTGGGGGGGTGCGGGATGGCGTGCTCGTCGGCGAGCGGTGTTGCACGCTAACTATCTTTGCGACGCAGGCCGTGAGAAACGCCAGGCTGGTTCCAGACCTCCAGCGCGTTGAAAACATCAAACTGGAGGCGTTTCGAAGTTAGCCCCAATCTGCAGGAGCGGTGCCCCCCGGAGCCTCCCGTCGCGACGGCTCCGCAGACTGCCGGCAGGGGGGCGGGTCGACGTCTGGAGGTGCGGCTTGTGGCCAGGCAGGGCTTCGAGGCTGGGGGATGGGCTTGGGAGAGCTCGCAGATGTCCTCCACTGCGCCTTGGGAGGTCTCAGATGCAACAAGGATGTGGTCAAAGACCCCCTCTGGCATGCGGGCCGCAGCCCCTGACCCAGACTCGGTGCCGATCTTGGCCATCGTCCATCTCGGTCATCGGGGATTCGCGGATCATCTCCGCGAATTGGCGACGGCCGGCATTGGCCACGACCACGGTCAGCGTCGACAAGATTCCGCGGGATGATGGGCCACGGTTCGAAGCAGCCGATGCGCGTGACAGCCGTTTTTAGTATTCACGCTTCCCACTTTTCCTCCTCGTTGTCTTCCTCCTCGTTGTTTTTCCTTGACTCTTGCGCCGAGGCGCCTGGACGGAGGCACAGCAGTGCGCAGCATTCTAGGAAGTGTAAGTTTTAGAAACATGAACTTTTGACGGTCCGCGCGGATATCTTGGATCTGCGCTGGACCCCTCCTTGGCGCGCGGAGCGCGCCAGGGGGGGGGGAGCCAGCGCCGATCCAAAAACTGCACGCTAAGCTCCAGCGTTTAGGTTTATGTAGTTTTCGTTATCCTAAGAATTAGCGGGCGAAGAGCAGTATGACGGGACGACGTTTGCCCCTTGGGCTGCTACAGAAATTATATCCCTACGTGGCACCGCAGGGGCATAATTTTTGCAGCCGCAGGCGCCCCCGACGGCGGAACAGATTATGTAATACCTTGCTCGGCTATACGTAGGAGTGACCCTTCGCAAGAGTGACCCTTAGTGCGGGCCAACTGCGGTCTTCCGACCGCCGAACGCGAAGCGGTAGCAGCGGCTTGCGCGCCCAGGTTTGGCCACCCCGCAGCCCAGCGAAGCCGCGCACCAAAGGTCCCTCTCACCTCGAGTCGCTATTGCGCGTAGCCGACGTTCTTCGCCTCCTAAAAGAACATCTGAGCGACGCAAAGACAGGGGTTCGTCTTCACAGACATTGGCGCGTAAGCTGCCCGCGTAAGGTAACGTCGCGCGTAAGCACCATCGTCTCCATTGTGGCTTGCCGCGCTGGTGGCCCGCGCAAGACACCGCGTAAGGTCGCTGCGCCATCTCGGGAAAAACCTGTTGTTGATAGTCGTTAGTTTGGGTTCCGTAGCCATTTTGGCTCAAGCTGTTTGGGCTGAAGGGCTCAAGCCGAGAGGAGATCGAGATCCTTGAATTTCCCCTTCAATTTTCCCGCGTTGGTATCAATAACTAGCAAATAGTAATGGTTGGCTTGCGCTCAGACATTGCTTGTCTACTCCAGATTCGTATCCAGGTATTGGCGGTGGCGTCGTGGAACTCCACAGACATGACGTACAAGAAGAGCGCCGACATGAAGGAGCAGGCCCAGAAGCTGAAAGACTTGAACGATGTCAAGACGAAGGCCGGCTACATCGACTCCCTGCTGAAAGGCAACCAAACAATCTTGCAGATTTCGAACTACCAGCTGAATTCCCCGCCGAAGTGCGGCACCGACACTGGCGGATCGTGCTGGATCATCCCTTGCCGGTCGCGCCACGCCACCTGCAGCAGCGATTCCAAGTGCGTCTGTTCTGCCGGGACATGCGCCCAGCACGGCGTCTGCGTGCAGCGCCTCTCTCCGCTCCTCCTCCTCGCGAGCCCGTCCGCAGAGCCGCCCGCCCAGCCCGCAGCTGCCGGCCTCGTCCTCTTGTCGGCGGCCGCCCTGGCGGCCACCGCCCTCCTGGCGGCGCGTCGGCGCCACACGCCAGAGGTCCACCTGCCCGTGGACGTCCTCGGCTGAGCTTGCCCCGCCGTGAGGCTCGAGGTAGCCTTGGCCCTCCTGGCGTACGCCTTTGCGGCTAGTGTCACAGTTCTGGCCCGAGGCAAGTGCTTATTCATCGTAGACAGACTGCAGCCCTGCGCCAGCATGTGGTCGCTCATTTGGGTCATGGCCTCCGCGTCACTTTCCAAGAGCGGAGGAGAAGGATGAGGCAGAGGAGGAGGATGAGGAACATCATTTTTTCCTAGGCCAATAGGCGCAACCATCCCAGATCCATGTCCGGACAAAGTCAACAAAAAAAACGAGGAGGAGGAGGAGGAGGAGCAGGAGGAGGAGGAGGAGCAGGAGGACGAGGAGGAGGAGCAGGAGCAGGAGGAGGAGGAGGGGGAGGAGGAGGAGGAGCAGGAGCAGGAGGAGGAGGAGCAGGAGCAGGAGCAGGAGGAGGAGGGGCGCCCCGCCGGCAGGACGAGGCCTCGGACTTCCGGCGCTGCCCCCTCGGCCACCGGTTGCTGCCGGCCGTGCCCGGCGGCTCGGGCGGCGGCCCGGCCCCGTGCGACATGTGCGGGGAGGGCGGCGACCTCCTGAGGCCGCCCGTCGCCCTGCCCTCTCGAGGGGTCGCGCGGGGGGGGCGCGGACCTCCTGAGGCCCTCTTGGCCGGAGTTGCCCGGCCCCTTCTGGAGTCCCCAGAGTCGCCTCTCGCGAGCCCTCTGTGGGCAGTCTTGGGGCGCTCTTGGGGCCGTCGGCCGTCTTGGAGACCCCTTGGGCCCCTCTCGGGGCCCTCCCCAGGGCCATCTTGAAGCGAGGCCTCGGAACAGCTTCGGAAACGAAAGGGCCAGAAGGCCAGACACATTGATTTCCCATGGTGGCGGCCTCTCTTACAGTAGAGGCCAAATGCCAAGAAACACTCTGCTTGCCTCCAGGGTGCCCTAGGTCTCTTAGGTTTCGATGGTTTTGCTGTGGAACGAGCTACGTCCCCACCAAAAATCAATGGACGTCCTGGCGTTCCAGGGTTGGGTTTCTTCTGGCAGGTTTCTTGTGGGCTGGCCTTCATTGTATAGGAGCGGATGCTGCTCGCGCCACTTCTGGCTGTTGTTTCAGGTTGGCAGCCATGTTTGTCGAAGTGCCCTGCACCACCCTCCGTTGCAGGTGCTTTTTCCCCAAGCAAAATCATGGGTTCAGGAGGCGCTGACGTGGATGTCAATGGTTTTGGACGGATTTGGGCATCTCGGGAGCGTCCTTGGAGGTGCTCCAAGGCCATTTGGATCCGTCTTTGAGCGGACTTTGAGCCTCGTGGAGCATGTTGGAAGCCACTTGGAGATATATTGAGCCATCCTGGAGGCCAGGTTGGGCATTCCGAGGCCTTCTTGGGCTTTGTTGGACGCTCTGACCGCTCGCGGGGCGCCCCCTCCAGACCCAGGGGGACGGGGTAGGGGCCAGTATCGTTTAACCGACTCCTATCCCCATCCCCGTCCACATCTCGAGCCCCACCGTCTCACCACCTCAGTCGGGGATGTGCCCCTCGAAACCCGAAGAGAGCAGCCTACATCCCCATCCAGTGGGGTAAATCGGCCAGTGGAGCCCAGCCCACGCTGGTGGGGATGGGGATCAAACTATGCTCAAGGGGGAGGGATAAGCTTTCCCTGAAGTGGAAGAAGAGAGTTGGACGAGGAAGCGGGCTAAACCACCTCTGCCCAGGGGGCCACCAGAGATGCCTGTCCCAGGGCGGGTAGGAAGTGTTGACCCCGTCGTGCCACCTTGGCAAAATTGTTGTTGTTTTACATTATTGCTTGTCGAACTTATCTCCGTGCGCATTCTTTTTAGACGCTTGCAGCAAGGAATTTTTATGATGGAGGGCGCTTCTTCAAACCCAGATTTTCGCCTTACCCCCGCGCGCACTCGTTTGATACACTTGCAACACATACAAGTATGGAGCAGAAATCGTGTTCACGCGCCATGTCGTTTATACTTGTTCATTTAAGTATAACGATGGATGACCGTTCGTTCTCAAAAGCAAGAAGGTGTCTATCTTGAGATTTATTGCGCAGATAGAGTGCGGTTCCTTTTCAACATGGGTATCTTGTGAGATGCCTCCCGAAATGCATGACCAGAAGTGCGCAAATGTGCGCAGCATTTCCACGGATGTTTGTCGGTCTGTCTTCGACAGGGGATTATCGTTGGACACCTCGTTGAGTTGTATGATCATCTGTTTTCGCATTCTTGATTTGCGCCAGAATGATGCAAGGCAGATCCTTTTCAAAACGGGGCCTGCACCAGTGGCTGGCCCATGTGGCGCTGTTTCTGCAAGGGAGGGGGAGGGGGGCGCTCATCGCAGTGAAAAAAAAGATTTGTAGGGATTTCGGAGGAGGGAGGGACGGGAGGGTGTATTCGCTGACTCATCTTGGGTTTATTCCCCTTCCTCCGCCTCCTCCTCCGCCTCTGCCTCCGCCTCCGCCTCCTCCTCCTCCTCCTCCTCCTCCTCCTCCTCCTCCTCCTCATCATCATCATCATCATCATCATCATCATCATCATCATCATCATCATCATCATCATCATCATCATCGTCGTCATCGTCATCGTCATCGTCATCATCATCATCATCATCCGCCTCCGCCTCCTCCTCCTCCGCCTCCTCCTCCTCCTTCCTCTTGTCCGTCTCCTCCTCCGCTTCCTCTTCCTCCCTCGTGCCCGTCTCGCCTGCTCTCCTCTCCCCCGCCTCGCCCCTCCTGCCGCCCCATCTGGGGCCGCGCCGGAGGCGGGCACGCGGCTCCGTGCCGCCGCCCCGGCGGTGGAGAAGACCGCGCGCGGCCCCGGGAAAGCCCCGGGAGGGCTTCCATCGGGAGCCTTGAGACGCGGGTCAATGCAGACGGGGGTCAGCCAGGGCGCCGGATCCTGCAGGATCCTGCGAAGGCTCCCTCTGGCTGACCCGGGTCAGGGAGCCGCTCGTGGCCGCGAGGCGGCCGCGCCTATTGGCTGACCCGGGTTTGCGAAGACCTGCGTTGCAGTTTTTTTTTCCTGCATTGCAGTTTTTGGTTTCCTGCTGACCCGGGTCTGGATTGACCCGGGTCAGAAGATCCCCGATTCCAGGAAGATCTAGGCCTCTTAGATGGGGTCGGAGTTGGTGGGGTCGGAGGATCGCGCCGCATCGCCGATGCATCGGCGGTGCGTCGGCGATGCGGGCAGATTTGTGGCCCGCTTTTCTCCACGCCGGCGTCGCCGATGCACCGCCGTCGTCGCCGATGCATCGTCGATGCACCGCCGATGCATCGCTGATGCGGCGCGATCCTCCGACGCCATCTACTCCGAACCCATCCAGGAAGCCTCCAGAAGAACACACTCTGAGATCCTGGCGTCTCAACTTGTTCGAGCCGAGCGTTTTCGCATTTCTTCAGAGATCGATCGCGCAGGAAGCTAAGGTCTAGGGCTCTGGGCGTGATTTTTGTTTCGAGGTCCATTTTTTCGCTGCGTCGGATCTCAGTGTAGGAGGGTGCCCCAGGAAAAGCCCCAGAAGGGGGCCCCTCCCAGGGAGGGGCCCCAGGAGGGCCCGACGAGGGCCCGAGGAGGGAAGGGGCGCGGGGCCAGGGCCAGCTGGCCGGTGCCCGCCGGGACGCAGTGGCGGCCACCAATCGTGCGAGAAGAGGCATTGGGACTGCGAGCCAAGCGGCCGCCATTGCAGCGCGCTCGTGCGCCGCACCCCCTAACTTTGGGTCCGCCGTACTTTTTGGGCGGTTTCGAAAGTAGGGTGGGAACTCCCGCCGTGCTTGTCAAGCTCCTTTAGCGAATTCAGTATCGCTTTCCGCCCTACTTTGCCGTCGCTGTCTCTGCCATACTATTGCGGCAAGATCCGCCCTGATTCTTCTGGGGCGGAAGCTCCCACCCTACTTACTCGCAGCGTTTGGGGTGCATTTCCAACACAATTGAGAGTGTCTCTGTTACGCATTCTGCCTCCCCATCCCCCCCCCCCCCATGGTGCAGTGCGTCTCCAGGACTGCCGCAGTGCGTCTGGCACCACAGTCTGCTGTGCCGGACCCACGCAGCAGGAGTTGGGCGCTACCTTATGCCCCCCCCCGCCCTCCCCCCTTCATAACTCGGCGGCGAGCGAGGCTGGGAGGCGAGGAGGACGAGGCCTTCTCAGGAGGCATGCGGGGCTTCTGAGGAGCTCCCCGGCCTGCCGAGGAGTGTTTTGTGTTGTCCTCGGGGAAGGCTCAGCCTCAGAAGGCCCGAGGCCCTCCGAGCCTTCCGGAAAAGGCCCGCCCCTCATCGTTTCCCCCCCAGGCTCGCCGCCGAATGAGAGAACCCTCCCTAATCGAGAAGAAGAAACGCCGTACACCTCAGGCGATGCTTAAGAAAACTTAAGTTTTCGGCCAGAGTCTCGATTATTCTTAACGTTTCAATGTAAATCTTAAGATTTTAATGGACATGTTGGGTTTTTATTCAAGTTCTGAGACTATGAATTTCTTAACCCATGATTTCTTAAGCATTTCGCAGGGTGTAGACATAAACTGCGGGCGCTCCGCGTGGATCTCTTGGATCCGCGCTGGACCCCCCTGGCAGCGCCTCCGGCGCCGCCCCCGTGCGCGCGGAGCGCGCCAGGGAGGGGGCTCCAGCGCAGATCCAAGGAATCCGCGCGTAGTGCCAACAGGCTGTGTCTGCGGCGTTTTGCTCTTTCTATTTCTATCTGCGCCCGCAGATCCGCCAGAGCACGGCGCATCCGAAGCCCGGCCCCCCTCCTCGGGGCGCTGCGCTTGCTGCCTTCGAGCCGCCGCGGCTCCCCCGCGGCCGCGAGCCGGCCCCGCTTCTCCGGCGCGAGCGGCTCCTCTGCGCCGGCGGGCCTTGGAGTAGGATTCAGTCGGGCTTGTCCCTCTACAGGAGGAAGATTGAAAAAGCAGTAAAGAACTAGTCTGGCGGCGATGTTTTTTTGAATTCCCATTTTTGAGCAGCTTTGGAGTATTCTTGTCGTATTTTTGATGCTTCGCCCAAAATCCGCCCCTGTAGGGGGACAGGCCCGACCTAAGAATAGGGCATCGACTCGGCGTCACCCCACCATACTAATATGACACCAGAGAAAAACCCAATCATAATCTTTTTAATGATATAGGGCTATGGGGCTGAAGGGCTATAGGGCTATAAGGCTATAGGGCTAGAGGGCTGGAGGGCTAGAAGGCTAGAGGGCTATGGGGCTATAGGGCTATAGGGCTAT